GGACAGACGTAAGAACACCCACACTTGTTGATGATGCCCATTTGACTGGACTTCAATGACTGGATAAACAAGAGCTCAACCTGAAGAAGAAAGAAGAGGAAAAAAGCGTCATCTGATACAATTCGATAAACATGACCTACACCTATGAATGCAGTAGCTCAAAAGAGGAAACAAGTCCCTGTTGCAGGAACTATAACCACCCCCTCCACACAAAGGGTAGACAGGGATGGGCAACTTGGACATTGGCTACCTAAAATGGGGGGAGGGATACAAAGGTAAGAAGTGACTGGCTTACAAGCTTTCAAGAGGTAACCTAGATCCAAAGGGCGTGGAGGAAGGTAGAGTCTCCAGTGAATAGTGTCCAGCCTGTCCAGGAAGGGCTGATGAAACGAAATATAGATGGGTCTCTTGTGATGCAATAGTGAATAATTGTTATCAGGAATGATTGTGAGGGTTGGAAATCTAAAGATGGGCATTTTGTAGCAAAGAGGGGAGTGATTAACTTATCAGTCTAGGAGCGGAGGACCCTGGGACCATCGATGGAGAAGACTGAAGAGCGGAATCCTACCCAGAGAGGTGGTGAGGCCTGGGATGGAGGCAGAGAAGACAACGTCAAGAGATGGTAGGGCTGGGGACTCGGGATCAGGAGATGGAAAGGGGCTGAGGACTGTGGTGGGGCGGGTGGGTGCAGGCTTACAGGGTACACCCCTTGGCTGGGTGAGGATGCATGGATGGGATGGTAACTATGCCAATGAAATGATGGATGATGGAATGAACGTAAAGCTGATATTCTCTCCCATGCAGACTATCACACAATTCACAATAAAACATTTAACAAAAAAAGAAACACAACAGACTAAACTGAAAAACAATTAAAGCTGAAAAAATAAAATATGTAATAAAATTAATTAAATAGAAAAAAAAAAAAGGGGTGGTGAGTGGAAATAACAGACTGGTATTGGTCGTTCCGAATGAAACAATCATGGTTAATACTATGCTGGGAATGACAAACTGAAAAGGAATGGCATCGCATTCCTCCTCCAAAAGAGAATTTCAAGATCTACCTTGAAGTGTAATGCTGTGATAGGATACTATCCATCTGCCTACAAGGAAGCCGGTTATTACCACTACTATTCAAATCTACACACTACCACTAAATCCAGAGATGATGAAAGTTACGAATCAGGCTGCTAATCTCACGGTTAGCAGTTCAAAACTCCACCTATTCTGTGGGACAAAGATGAAGTTTTCTGTTCCCGTAAAGATTTACAGGTTTGGAAACCCTGTAGATGGTTGCTATGAGTCGGAACCGACTCCCTGGCACGTAACAACAACAACCTACTTGTTTAGTTAGAAATGGATCAAACATGCAATCACAATGCATTGATAATTACTGGTGACTGGAATGCAAAGGTTGGAAACAAACAGGAAGGATCAGGGGTTGGAAAATACAGGCTTGGTGATAGAAATGATGCTGGAGATTGCATGATGGAATTTTGCAAGACCAAAGACTTCGTCATTGCAAATACCTTTTCTAAACAACATAAAAGACGACTATACACATGGACTTCACCAGATGGAATACACAGAAATCAAATTAACTACATCTGTGGGAAGAAATGATGGAGAAGCTCAATGTTGTTGTTAAGTGCCGTTAAGTCGGGTCCGACTCATAGTGACCCCATATATGGGTTCTAAGGAGTAGCTGGTGGATTTGAGCCACCAACACAGTAGTTAGCAGTTCAGTGCTTATCCTGCAGTGCCACACCAGGACTCTGAAGAAGCTCAAATAAGGTCAGGGGCCATGTGTGGAACAGATCATCAAATATACCTTTGTCAACAAATCTCAGGCAGAAGCTGAAGGAAATGAAAACAAGTCCACGAAAGCCAAAATATGACCTTGAACATATCCCACCTGAATTTAAAGACCATCTCAAGATTATTTGATGTATTAGACAGTAATGGCCAAAGACCAAGAATTGTGGGGTGACATCAAGAACGTCATCCAAGAAAGCAAAAGGTCATTAAAAGGACAGGAAAGAAAAGACCAAAACAGATGTCAGAAGAGACTCTGAAACTTGTTCTTGAATGTAGAGAAGCTAAAGCAACTGGAATGATGATGATGTAAGAGATGTAAATAAAAAATTTCAAAGGACAGCTCAAGAAGACAAAATATTATAATGAAATATGCAAAGAACTAGAGCCAGAAAACCAACAGGGACGAACATGCTCAGCATTCCTCAAGCTGAGAGAACTGAAGAGAAAATGCAAGCCTCAAGTTATAATATTGAAGGATTCTATGGATAAAATATTGAATGATGCAGGAAGTATCAAAACAAGATGGAATAAATTAAAAGTCACTGTACCAAAAAGAAATTGCCAATGTTTACCCATACCAGGAAGTAGCAAATCAAGAACCGATGATACAGATACAGAAGGAAGAAGCCCAAGGTGCGCTGAAGTTATTGGCAAAAAACAAGTCTCCAGGAATTGATGGAATACAAATTGCAATCTTTCAAAACACTGATGCGGCACTGGAGGCACGCACTCATTCCCAACAAACTGGGAAGACAGCTACCTGCTCAACTGATTGGAAGAGATCTGTATTTGTGCCCACTTCAAAGAGAGGTGACTCAACAGAATACAAAAATCAAAATAATATCATTAACATCACATGCAAGTAAAAATTTGTTGAAGATATTTTTAAATGGGCGCAGCAGTACATCAATACAGACTTGCCAGAAATGTAAGCTGGATTCAGATGAGGACATAGAACGAGGAATATCATTGCTGACAGATGGATCTTGGCTGAAAGCAGAGAATACCAGAAAGATGTTTACCTGTGCTTTATTGACTATGCAAAGGCTTTCCACTGTATGGATAGTGACAAGCTATGGACAACATTATGGAGAATAAGTATTCCAGGCCATTTAATTGTGCTCATGAGGAACCTGTCACATAGACCAAAAGGCAGCTGTTCTAACAGAACAGGGGACATTGAGTGGCTGAAAATCTGGAAAGATGTGCACCAGGATGGCATCCTTTCCCCATACTTATTCAATCTGTGTGCACAGGAAGGAATTTGAGAAGCTTGGTGATATGAAGATTGAAGGAAGACTCCTTAACAATCTGGGCTATAGCTGATACGACTTTGCATGCTAGAAGTGAAGAGAATTTGACTATAGCCTTCAGTATGGATTGCACCTGAACATAAAGAAAACAAAATTTCTCACAACTGGATCAATAAGCAACTTCATAGTAAGCAGAGAAAAGACTGAAGTTTTCAAGGATTTCATTTTATTTGGATCCACAATCAACTCCCATGGAAGCAGCAGTCAGGAAATCAAATGACAGGATTGCAGTGGGCAAAACTGCTGCCCAAGACCTCTCCCAAGTGTTAAAAAGCAAAGATGTTAGTCTGAGGACTAAAGTGTGCCAGATTCAAACTATGGTCTGTCTTTCAATCACCCCACATACATGCAAAAACTGGACAGTGAGGAAAGAAGGCAGAAGAACTGATGCATTTGGCAACGGATATTACATCCACCATGGATGTCGGAAGAAGGAACACATCCACCTGGGAGACGCACAGCCTTAGAGGTGAGAACGGCGAGCCTTGGTCTCTCATACTTTGGACATGTTATCAGGAGGGACCAGTCCCTGGAAAGGACATCGTGCTTGGTACGGCAGAGGAAAAGGAAGGGTGGATGGAGAAAGGATTCCATAGGGCTAAGGCCTAGAGGGGACTGAGCACCCTCTAGGAGAACAGAGGGGTTCTTCCCAGGGCTTAGAGGGGGAGTGTCTGAGAATTCCATTTGTGCTGTCAGAAGCTCCCATAGCATCGTCCCGATTTCTCCGGTCAGACAGTCACCCTGGGCCTCGGCGCAGTGTGGGGCAGCAGCAGTACCTTGAGGTCTCTGTGAATGATGGGTGGTTTCTGCCTGTGCATGTGTTGCACGGCTCTGCACGTCTGATAGAATATCTTCAGAACCGTATCGCATGAGAGAGGACCTCTAGACTCAATTTTCTTTACAAAGTCCACCAACTGCCCTAAGAGAGCCAATGAAAGACAAAAGACAAATCACCATGAAGTTCCAATCATGGGGGGCCTTCCCAGCTTGTCCCCCCGCTTCCCCAGGGAACCACACTGCATGCTGTGGAAGCAGGGGCAGAACCTGTCGCCCATGGTGAGCGCCCCCCCTCCCCCCAGGTGTGTAGCCCCTTCTCCTCAGGTCTCCCCTTTAGGGAGACTGTGGTTTGTTTGTTGTTGTTGTTAAGTACCACTGAGTTGGTACCGACCCATAGCAACCCTGTACAGGGTATCCAAGGAGCAGCTGGTGAGCTTGAACTGCTGACCTTGCAGTTCAAACAACTTTGTAGTCTGGAGCATTAACCCATAGCGCTGCGGCTTTAGTGCGACACCGGTCACGGAACTGCTCTCCATCGGTGACAGCACAAAGCAGCCCCAGGAGCGGGCAGGGGACAGCGCCAGAGATGGCCCCCTGAGCAAGAGCTATTCCCCCGGTAGAGTCAGGAATTAAAAGTCACCTGGGGCAGCTGTTGGGGCAAGTCTCTACACGCAGACGCCCCAGAACTGCTGGAAGCCACAGAGAAACTAGCAATATTCATACTTTCCCATGGATGTCTAATGACTCAGGAAGACTGCAGAATCGATGCCTTTGAGTTATGGTGTCGGAGGAGGATACTGAAAGTGCCATGGGCTGTAGCCAGAGTGCTCCTTGGACGCCAGGATGGCCAAACTTCGTCTCATACTTCAGACATATTGTCAGCAGGGACCAGTCGCTGGAGAAGGATATCATGTTTGGTAGGGTGGAGGGTCAGAGAAAAAGAGGGCGACAACGCCCCCTCTACCCCCAGCAATATAGATTGGCCAAGTGGCAGCATCAATGGGTTCAAGCGTGGCAACAACTGTGAGGTTGGTCCAGGACTGGGCAGTGTTCTGTTCTGTTGTGCAGAGGGTCGCTATGAGTACCGACTTGATGGCACCTAACAACAACAACTAATGAAATAGTCACCAATATTTCCTAAATAACAAAGGACAGTTTACCTGACGACATTCCATTTTAGTAAATAAAGTGTGTAACTAAGTATGCGGACCACTTCCTCCTCTTCCCCAGGCCCAGGTCTCCACCCTTGACCAGTAAACCCTGGGGCTGCTCCATTCCAGGCCCCGTGGCTCAGTGAGTCCCAACCTGAGCTGCACACAGCGTCACTGGGTACTTTTAGCAAATACCGAGAGGCTCAGCGCCTGCCCACACTAATCCAGAAATCCCCCATTGAGGTCTATGAAACTAGAGTGAGCCACCGCCCGGTGGAAGGGTGGGAAACCTGGCTGCAACCTCGTGAAACTTCGGCCTCACATGGTGACACCAGTTCACAACTCTTCCATGAACGCAGTTCCCCCACGCAAACCTCAACAGGAGGCTCACACTCGACCAAGTCTGCAACAGAGGCCCGTCCAATTCTTCAGCTACCTATGGGTCCATCCTGAACCCCCTTCTTCTCAGTCCCAGGGTGCCTAAGCCCCAACCTCCTTTAACCAGCTCACCACACCTAAGGCAGCATGCTCCGAGCCCCTCACGGTCCGCCTTCCTGGGCAGTGTAGGGCCCATGCATCCCTCACACCTCCTTGCTCCCTCCCTCTCCAAACACACTGGCTTCCTTTGTCCCTCCTCAGGGCCTTTGCACATGCTGCCCCCTGCTGGAAAGGGCTCTCTTCCTCACCTTCTTCAAACCGTGGTACAAATTTCATCTACACTGTACTCCCAGCCCCCTCTCCTGTACCAGACCTCACGCACACAGCTGAAGTAAACCGAGTATGTTGCTATTGCTACTTGTCATGAAGAAATTCCAACTCACAGAAGCTCCTGCTTACCACAAGGTTGGCGGTTCAAACCCACCAGCTGCTCCTTGGACACCCTTCACAGAGTCTCTCTGAGTCAGGACTGATTCAGCTGCACTCACATTACTATACTTTGTCACTCTGGTGGTCTCTGGCCTCGCTGTAATCCCTTTATAAGCAGGACCTCAGTACTCTACCACTCAGCACACCAGGCAAGCCTGCTGCCAGGAGCCGCCACCTGGCCTGCCGGGCCCAGCTCCTCCTGGGTGCTCTGTAGGCCCTGGGAAGGCAGCCTCAACTGGACCCAACCTCCCTCTACCCTCCCTCAGCAGGCTGTCCTCTCTGCCATCACTGCCCACTTTGGCTCTAGCTGAAACGCAGCTCCTCAGGGACCTTTTCTGAGAACAAGTCAGGAAGAGAGCCCCGAGAAGTAGCACGTGGGTGGAGAGCTTTGAGTGCAGACCAGACGGAGCCACAGCTGGATGCGGACGTGCCCGGATCTGAGTGAGCTGGGGGTTAAGTGGCACGTCAGGTCCCACGCCACCTTACTATAGCCACTCAAGGGCGGAACAGGGGTGCTGGGGTCACAGACACCAGACAGCTGTGTTCTCACAGACTTTCAGTGAGAACTGAGAGGGAATCTTCAGAACAGCAGAGCCACAAACTGTCAGAGAAGAGGCGCCCACAGCCTTCAGCACACAGGGAGACTGAGGCTCAGCATAAGAACCACCACCAGTGAGGAGAGCTCCTCACCAGACCAAAGCAGCCCCCTCCCCAAATCCTTGGCCCCTCGAAGTCCCCCGCAGACCCGCTCTGCCTGGATGTTTCCCCACGAGACACCAAGAGCCCCTTCCTCCTGGCTTAAGGGCACAGCTATCCCTGTTTCAGCAAAACCAACACAGAGCGCGGTGGCTCCTTAGGATAAGCGCTGGAATACAAACCACAAAGTCAAAGTGGGTGATTCGAGCCCACCAGCCGCTTAATGGGGGAAAGCTGAAGCTTTCTGCTCCTGTAAAGATTTGTTGTTGTTGTTGTTAGGTGCCATTGAGTCAGCATCAA